ACAGGTATGAAGCCAAAGGAGTCCCATGTATCTCAGGTGTTTTGGTACATATTTGTATTTCATAGTTTTTTGGCATGTTTGCAGTCTGATACATACAGGAAAATGAGAGATGTCACAGGCGAATTTTGGGAAGGAAGGTATACATACTAGCCTCTTCACTTGCAAGTAACAAATTGTTTCAGAGGTAGCAAATTGCCTTTGGCTTATCACAATAGTGTATTTTCTTCCATTTTGAAGTTTATGATTTCCACATATATTGTGGATTCTTCAAACTGTGTTCGGACGTTGGATGTTTGGAATTCACCACTAAATTAACATCCTATTTTGTGTAACCTGCTATCAGAGAATTTGAATTGAACCAAAATTACAACGGTGTAAGTTCTTTTGTCTCTGTAATCAGCTAGCTTTTGCTATGACCACTGGCACACACTAAAGGTGTCCGATTTTCTAAATTACGGAAAGTTGGAAACCATCAGCACGGAAGGTTTCCTGTTTAATGGTGTTTCATGTCTTACTATCCATGGAATTTCTGGTCTCATGCTTGTTTTTGTCATAACACTGTGGTCTGTTTTTTTGTTATAACACTGATAAATGAAGTAGCTTTTCATTATGGTGTGGCTGAATTTTAGACCTCTAAGCTCTCTAGCAGCTAAGAAGTATCTTTGTCATGCAAAATCACGAAGGCTGTAGTGACTGGATTATTTGTCTATGGATACTGACCTTTTTGCTTTTTATTTATTTATTTATTTATTTGTGGCGACAGTTTTCCCAAGACAAATGTGCTATGGCTACAATACTTGGTTGACATACTGCTGCTAAAGAAATCATACGTGAGTATTCTACAGCAACGTTGATTCCATATTATCCGTTTATACCACCTCATTGAAACTGTATAGTATTATGGATGGGGTATGTCCTCATTCTATGCAATTGGCTTTCTGTTCCTAATATATGCTTGCTATGTTTGGCTGCTATATGTGCGTGTAGTTGCTGCAATTTCAGCTGCATGCAGTTTGACATTCTATTAGTTGATTTTGACCATGTAGTTCTGTCCTCTTCAAAACAGAAAAATGAAAAACAAAATCAAACAAATTGGTCAATCTCCTTCTATTACTATCATTGTCTGATAGTCTGATACCTGATAATTGGGGATTCAAATCAAGCTCATAAAATATTCTTTTTGGTTCAAAGTTAAGTGGCCTAGCTGTTGCAGGAAAGGAGCTCCAAAGATGAGAGGGAGCTACGTTCTCTGAAAAAGCGTCTGAATAGCTATGGTTCCGCAAGAGAAGCAACATCGGATGTTTTCTTTTCTGACTTAATCATTAACCTCCAGCATTGATTGGCAAAAATCCCTCAAGAAACTAAGATATTTGCTGTGACTATGCTATTCTTCCAGGAATCTGAAAGTGCACTTCCTATATGAGGTTTTTGTATCAAGAAACCAACTTGGTTTCCCATGACAAAGCACTAGAAACAGGAATGTCGCTTCCTTTCCTTTACTTCTTGTCTTCATTTTATTTAATCATATTTTGGATTATAAATGTAATGTTATATGTGTGCTTGCCAAATTTGGCAAACTATCTAAACGTTGATGGCATAGTTATCTGTCTAGACACTATTGTTATCAAAAGAAGAAAAACCATTTCCCTTTAGCATCTGCAGTGACCAGCCAAACATCAACTGTACTAAATGATCAACTTAGTAACCTTTCTATCCACTAAACCATAAACTCCTCGTGCTGTGTTCCAGAAGAAGTGGACATACAGCTCATGTAGTCGTAGACAATGCCCATCATCTTTTCCCCCAAAACTTTAGTGGTTCTAACATATATTTTATTAATGCCTGTGTGCTTGATGCTACAACTTGACAAGAAATCTATTGTAATTCTTCTCTTTATGCCAAATTGTATCAGCAGTCACAAAGTTCAAACTTGAACTTTATAATTCACTAACAATTTTATAACTGCACACTTATCTTGACTTTACCCTTATCTATAACACAAACACTTATCTCGAAATTTTCTTTAATTGACTATAACACTTGTGCCGATCTATTGGTTACAATATCAAATTGGAAAGCAATACAAAGAAAAAGCAAGTAGAATGTTGTATTGGTTGTTGCTTTATATCTTTCCTTTTTGTAAAAAGATTGAACAGAGAAATTTGTTTATTGAATTTAGATGGGCTGATCAAATCTTTTCAGCTGTCGGATGACTCAGATTTAATGGATTACAAATTAGTTCACATGGCAATGGATCCCTTTGATTTGACATAATACATTTTAAAGTTTTCTATGCAAAATTCATAATTTAATATCCAAACAACTTGAGCAAAAAGAGAAGCCGAACCTTTGTTGATGATGGTTGCATGATCATAAAGCATCTTCTTCTTTTTTTTTGTTAAAGGAGACCCAACCCAGCACATGTATTTCTGGACTATAAATTATAGTCCAATGAACCTAAAGCAAATGCACTAATTCTTGATTATCATATTTTATTTCTTTCACATACGCATAAAAAATTAATTAATTAATATATAGGAGGAGAGAATGACCTTATAATTGTTTGATGCTCTTAAGCCTGCCTCATGCTATAGCTAATTTTGAACTTTCACTTTTCCCCTATAGAATTAGTAGGATGAAAACGAGATCCAAGTGGTCCAAAATTGACTTTGGTTCGCCAAAAGGCCTCATCTCTAAAAGCCTAGTTGGCGAGGTCTCGCGGTAGGGTTCCAATCCTCGCTTTGTTAGTGGTGGAAATTTTTTGATCAGGGATCAGTTCCTCTATTAAAGTAGGTCCCCAATGCCTAACTTCTCTTACTTTCGATGCTTATCTACAACTATAAAGAGGTAATCCTAACTTCGGTCATTAGTCTTTTATATAACATGATGCTGACCAACTAAGGGTGCCGCGAGATGGTTCACATTTCATCATTTTTAATTTTAAAAAAATCAGGTTGAAACTTGGGAAATATGCATAAAACTTTTTGGTGATGACTGATGAGTGTTTTACCCCTTTAGTGGTAATGTCCTACACGAATCTAAATTAATGGGGTCAATAAGCTTCGGATAATGCATATACATGATTAAACCAAAAAAAAATATAAGATGGTGCTGCTATTAATGTGTGGATAAATGTTTAATAAGTAACTGTATATGAGGAGAAATTGAAAAACATAGTCGTTTGCTTTGCCAAGAAAAGGAGTAACAGATAAAAAGGCAAACAGAAAGTGTCAGCAGCTCCACTTCCTCCAAAACATAAATCTGATATTATCTTTGACCATTTTAAAATTAAAATAAAATTGACATTTCATAGCCACCTCTTTTTGTTTTTTTATTTGCATGTAATTTAACTTTTCCTTTTGCAAAGCAGAATGTGGATTTTGAGGTGATCAAAATGAATCTGGACAGGGGCATCCCACGATACTATCGTACATAGCCTCCTTTGTGTAGGCTTGGACTACAGTTTATCCTAACTTGCTTCTTGTTTTTGTTAACGACCAAGATAACTTCAAGGGGTATTCAAGTACATTTTAAAATATAATATGCTAATATCGTGTTGAAAAATAATATAAAATAAACATGAATCCGACACTAGGATTTAAGGGTGTGGCCTAGTGATGATCAATAAAATACTTAAGAATCATGAGGTTTCATATCAAATGAAATTAGTTGACATGTGTACGACTACTACGACTTTCAAGTAAAAGAGGAGAAGGTATCAATAGGAGCAAATTCATGCTTATATTACTCACTATTTTTGTCCTAAATTAAAATGAATTTGAAAGAGTAAAGTTTAGTCCTAACGTTTGGATTTAATTCCAAGATGAGAAAATTGATTACACTCTACCCCTTGGTTCTTGGTTTTATCACTCCCTCAATACCAAATGATTGTCCAAATTAAGTTGTTGTTTTACTTTCTAAAAGAGAAACTTTAATTACCCAAAAAAGTATTTTGTCGTCCCCCACTTTTATTTTAAATTTTAAACTATGTTAAAAATCCTTCCTAGATTCAAATATATCTTCCCTTTCAGTCCCATTTCCTTTTTTGTATCTATATCCTACCACTTTGTCACCTTTCCCAACAGTTACAATTACATTCTAAACTTAGCATTAATTAACTTTCCAGTTTTTAAACTTTTATATATAAATTAAATATATAGTTTCAACCTAACTAATATAAAGTTATTGTCATATAATCAAGATATCATTGATTTGAACTATAGAAATACGTCGAATAAAAATACAGTAATAGATCATTGTGTCCAGACCTCTATACAAAATAAATGATGCAGTGAATCTGGGGAGAAAGAGTGTGAGTTGCATCAAATTAGAATATCGTGTATCTCCTGGTCTCATTCACTCCCATCCATTTCTAAATACTCTAAAGCATGGCTCCACCGACCACTGTCAAGGACCCTCTACCCCACCCCACCCCTTTTTCTTTTATATATATATAATATTCCACATAATAAAATTTTATGATCAATTTGTCCGCATCTCAATTATTCTATCGTTACAAAAACAAAATGAGGCAACATAATGATCCTTTGCCCCATTCAAAGATAAGGTTTCCACCCTTTGCTTTCAACATGCATGTAGCATTTGTCTGCAATTTGCCAAGTGTTACTTTTTTTGTTTTAGTATGAACTCAATCTTTCAGAAATTTGAAAAATAATTTATGCTTTACCATAGTAGAGAAGCAAAAAAACAATTTTCAATATTTTCTTCAGCACAAAGTAAACACTTTTTTTTTTCTTCCTATGTTATTATGACATATACACTAGAAAGTTAATATATATTCGTTTCTTTTTAACTTTTATGTCCTACCCCACCATTGTCTATCTCCTACTCATACCTTTTTTTTTCTGCCCCTTTCTCCCTTTTGCTATTTAAATGGCACAACTTTTTTCATTCTATGTTTAAAGAAGCACATTATATACTTAATTCCTATTATAGTTCTATTGGAGTCTCTTTCGCAAGTAACAACACATTGAAGAAAAATGCCCAACACTATAATGACTAGAGGAGCTTCAAAATTCATCTTCTTATTCTTCTTGTTTATTCTTCTTGCCTGCATTTCTGGTAAGTGTAGTTTATTTTTATTTTTTGAGTATTTCTTTATGAATGGGGTTTAAATGTTGGTTAAAAGCAAAATTCTTGTTTTTACTGATTTTTTTAATTATGTGACTACTGTTTTCTTTGTCCAAGTTTAAGATTTGGAATTTGTAGTGTGTTACTGTTTAGTGTTCCTATATTTTACAAGAATGGGGTCTGGATGTTGGTTAAGCTCAAGTTTCTTGATTTTTGCTGCTGTTTATATTCAAGATTCTGAAATGCATTTTCCCCATTTTAGCTCTATCATTTTTAGACTAGATCTTTTCCCCCCAGAAAAGATTTGTTTTTTTCCTGTTTTTCAATAGAATCCCTAAGCCCTAAGTTTTCAATATTTGTGTGGAAAGGTGACCTTAGTGACTTTGATAAAATGGAGCAAATGGTTTATTTGAGCTTAGTTTATATCATTCACTAGGATGGTAAAGCAAAGCCTATGCTAGAGATAAGACTGTCATCTTATTCTAGAAATGTTCAGCAAAAAAAGATGAAGAACTGGGATGGGATTTATCATCAGAAAAGACGTTTACGGTCAACTGAGTATGCTAGATTTACCATGTCCACTTGAAAAACGGAGCTGCATTGGTTGAGATTTGATGTTATAAGAGTTGAGAAACGTTTAAGTTAAAATATGGCAAAACAAGTTGCAGCAAGTTAAAAATCTAATAATGTTCTTTGCAGGATTATCCCCAGCTAAAAGAATTGAGCACAGAGAGCTTGAAAGGGAAAAGGAACAAAAACATCATATGTTCGGGAAAGGACTGCTTGAGTTGTTACCCATTAGAGCAATTAAACATGACTTGATGGATCCACCAGCAACAACTGGATTTCCTACAACCCCTATTGTAAATCCTGTCACAACTCCATCTAATATGCCTCCAGATAACTCAGCTCCAACAGTTGTTACTGTCCCGTCCACAAATCCTAACCTTGGAATTCCAAATTTTGGGTCTATACCTCCAGCAGCTCCTTCTACGACCCCTGTGACTGACCCGAACCCCAATCCTCCGGTACCACTAACTAATCCAGTTACCACCCCCAGCACAAGTACACCCGTAAGTAATCCTGTAACAACGAACCCAAATCCTGTAGGGGGTGTCCCTGCCACCACCCCGGTAACGCCTCCTGCAACCACAAATGCTCCTGCTACTGGAGGGCAGAGCTGGTGTGTTGCAAAGAATGGAGCTGGAGAAACTTCACTTCAGTCGGCGCTTGATTATGCTTGTGGGATGGGAGCAGATTGCTCAGCCATCCAGCAGGGTGGAAGTTGTTATAATCCCAATAGTCTTCCAGGTCATGCATCCTATGCCTTCAATAGCTACTTTCAAAAGAATCCAGCACAAACGAGCTGTGATTTTGGGGGTGCTGCCATGATAACCAACTCAAACCCAAGTAAGCAAAGAAGGATTCTTTATTGACCTACCTTGCCGTTATAAACCAGCATCTTATTGTTTTCTGATCCTTTACATGCAGGCACTGGCTCTTGTGTTTTCCCTGCATCGGGGTCTTCTTTGTCATCGCCTGCAACAACTACCACGCCAATGTCTGGAACTCCAGCTCCAACAACATCCTCATCAACAGGTGCAGCAATACCAGGGTAAGGGGAATTTTCATTCTCTCCATCAATCTAATAATACCCTCTTCGTTGCATTTCCTGTGGTCATGTGTTTCTAGGCAAGGAGTTAAAGAAATGAAAAAAGACCTGCGTATAGAAACGTGTCTTTCTTTTTGAATTGTCATATAAAATGGATGAAGTAATCGATATGCTTTTCACTAACTTTGTGAACTGTAATTTTCGCAGCTTAGCACCTCCAACAGTGACGAATGGTAACGACTCTGGTTTTGGAACGATGCCCTCGGGGATCGGTGATAGTATTCCTCCGACTACTACTACCTCACTGTCCATGTCAAATGAATTGCAACCCCTAGTTGGCTGCATCGTTCTAGTCGCCTCCCTTGCGACTAGTAAGCTGGTCTTGGAGTTTTGAGGAAAAGAGGAGCTCAATTGTCAAGTGAGAAACTGGATTTTCGGTTTCAAAACAATGTACAGTTCTCGTGGCGGAAAAAATGGAAGCAGTTAGGAGTATTCTCAGAGGTTTAGACATTACACACCTATACACTGCTTTAGTATAGTTGATATATCCTTCATATCCACTACCTAGATGTAAAATTCATATATTAATTTTAGAGGCCATTATCTATATCTATCACTTTGAAGTAGTAATTCTTAATTATCCCATATATGTTCAATTGGCCTGATGTTACACTGCTATATTATATATTTCCCTGCTTATGAAGGATCTTAGATCTCATATCATCAGTTGTAGCTGGTTATTACTTACTATAAATAGACTTAGGTCTATGTTTCCAATTAAATTAAGGTTTGATATGTTGGATAAATATAGATAGTCTGGAGACAGATTTAATTGTCTTATTCATTGTTTGGTTAGTAATTATGAGATAAGTTATATCAAGATTAGTAATTACTACCTGAAGAAACATTGAAAAATGACAAAGCTACTTCTGTTCAATTTTAATTTTTTTTCTAAATAAGGTAGAGGTATTTTTGTAATCAAACAATTTCTTCTCAGAAATAATATATAATTAATCTGAGCATTACTTTTTTTCAAATCAAACGACCCCTAAATGCATTAAACCATTTTTTTATATGCATGCCCTCTGTTCCTTCATAGGAATTAAGTTGGGTACAGCCATGTAGAACAAAGTCAAAAGCATTTTACAGCCATCAACATCAAAAGAAAAGAAGAGGAATTTTTAAAATAACATGAAAGGGGCTGACGATGCCCTATTTTTCTATATTTATTTCAGAGTGGTGTATTGATGGTCACTTTAAGTTGATTAATCAATGAGCGCCATGCACTAGCGCAATTACGTGTTTCTTCAACGCCCTACATGATTAATAAACAATAATTTAGATTTATAATTTCTATACTCCCTCTTCTCCCATATAAAAAGTAAAGGCATTATTGGATGGATCATAACCTTAAAAAAAAATATTAAAGCCATTAATCAAAGGGTAATTTGTCAATATTACCTTACCAATCCTAATGAGGTAACAAACCTCAATTCACCAACAAGCATGAAGTAAATAAGATTTTAAAAAAATTAAGAATCTTGTGATCACCACAAAGTTAGAAATACACGCTATGATGATCTTAGGTGGCTTAGATCAGCATACAAAAAATTAAACTAATTAAAGAAAATATTCGTGTTTAGTCTAGTAATCCTAGGTAGTAGAAAATTATCTTTAAAAGGCTACGATAAAATCAGAAAACTAGGCTTCCTCACTAGGACAAGAAAACAATGCAACTGGGCCCTTCAGATTGGAGTTTCAACGATACATTTTGAAAACATGATTACATAACGTTAAGTTAAAACGCATGTATATATATCTAATAATTGAACATCGAGATGATGGATTCAGTTGTGATGCCCGTACAAAAAGATAGGCCCCCATATAGTATGATTAACATTCTAATATATGAAACAGTAGCTCTACAGCTTTTCCTAATCTCTCTTCCAAGTTGTAACTAGCTACACTTCTCCTTTTTACATTGTCAACTATACTAATGGTAAGTATTACCGCTTAGAAAAGAGGACTAACATCAACATCGACATTGAAACGACAACCTTGAATCCTGAGGTATCCCAGAAGTTCTGATTATTGTTGTTTGAAGTTCCGACTTGCTTAGTTGATAATTGGTCTCTCAGTTCCTTAATAGCTTTGTCACGTCGTTCCCCCATCTGCAATTTATGTTTGCATGAATGGCATTAGGTTTACTGTATCATGCATAATTTCATTAAGGTAGTAGTAAAGAGTAGAATTACCCTTTGAAGCTTGCGAGTTTGAGTTCGAGTCTCTTGGAGACAGAATTCCAACTTCATAATCCTCTTTTTCAACTCTTGATCAGCCCTACGATGCTTTTCTAACTGTCCAGAAAAGAGGTTGAAAATCATGAGGAAAAATCACTCATTAAGTATCATAGAATATAGAGAGTGATGGGAAAGTATGTACCATACCTGAGATTCCAACTCCTTGGTTTTTAGCTTCCAGTGGGCAGACATGATCCTGATTTCGTCCCTGAGTTTGGCAAGTTCTTCATCTTTGTTAGTCAACAGCTTGTTCATCTTCTCAATGTTCTTTGGAGAGACCTCATCTAAGACCTTCCTCAGTTCACAATCTGTGTTTGCCCCAGATTTTGCTAATGCTTGCATGATATCATGCTCGATTCTCACTACTTCATCTTTCAATTGCCTTTGGGATGATTCTCTTGCTTGAAGATCCTTCTGCAAAAGATCTAATTGCTCACCAAGTTTATTTACACGAACTTCATGTTCCTTCAGTGAACTGTTTTTCTCATCCAACTCTTTCAAAAGCACCAAACACTGAAGCTGTGCAGATTCAGCTGATGCAGCACTTGCATCTGCAGTTGCTTGAGTAGCAGAGAGTTGTGATTTGAGGTCATCCAACTGCTTGACATACTGAATCACATTCAGACCAGATGTTATTAAAATGCATACCAATATCCTAGGAAACCATTCTTACTGTAATGATGCATGATTAAAGATAATAAAGGAAAAAATCACACACAAGTGAACAATTAGTATCTTAAATTAGCCAGATGAGAAGATATTTTCTACAAAATAGAAGACTTTCCAATTCAATCTTAAAAATGCAAAAAATAAGTGAAGGGTCTAAAAGGAATTGGATTAATAAGGGATACTGTATTATTATTCAGATTTGGAGTTTGTCACTTTTTCAGTCAAACTTTGGGAGTTTAAGTACTGCCATTATGTGTTACACACTAATTTCCTTTAAGTTAACTTGAATCTACTTAAAGGGGATGTATCATCATACATTTACCGTTACTAGACATCTTTTTTATCAACTCAAATAACTCATTCCTAACACACCAATATGGTGTCAAAAATATGAATCAACCACAAATATCCAGGTTGTCCCAGTCATATATATATTTAACTTTACCACACATATTTGACTATAAGTCGCCTTGAATTGCTACCTAACATGTTCATTCGAGCACACTTTATTTGAATCGGACAGACACCATGTTATATCCAACTAATCGTTTCTCCAACAATCTGAGGACAAGACTCTCAATGCCAGAATATTCAGAGTTGGAGCAATGATATATGCCTCAATATCAAAGGCATCTCAAGATAGATAATACCAAGAGAACTTGACTCTCACAAAAGACAGTTTTAGCACTACCTTGAAAAATCCTCAATCATATGGCATCATGTCAATCCTAAAACTAATATATATATTATTTAATTATAAATGCACAACAAAGGGGCAGAAAAACCAAGTGCTACCCATCTAAAAGCAACTAACAAGAGAATCCAAAAAGTAGTTTGATTTATTAAATGGTAAATCATCCAAGATTCCTCTTTATCTCACTAACTCAGCTAAAAGAAACAAAATTTTCGACCTAATTCAAAACACAGACAAAGTTTGTTGGACCACTATACTCAGGTTGAACTACTAGAGACAATAATCTTCTATTAATTCTTCAATCCTCAATACTATTTCTCTATTTCCCAAAAAGGACAAACAAGAAATGCCAGAAAGTAGCCTCAAAAGATATCCATCATAATATGCCTTTCAAGTACCTTTTCTTTTAGTAATTGCAAATTAACCCAAATGCCCCACACGCAAGATCTTGGAGCCCAACTCATCCCTCATCTAAACCCACTAAACTACTCTCCAATCAAACCAAAAATACATAAATTTTCAAGAAATGACACTCATGACAAATACCTTCTCAGTGTTTAAAGCTGAAAATTGAAGCTCTCCATTCTTTTCCTCCAAATTCTTCTGCAATTTGTTTATCTCTTCTTCCATTTTCTTAGCTTTACTCTCTGCATCCTGTAAATAAAAAAACAATAAACACACGATAATCAGACCAAGTCCAAGAATCACCTGACCCACACTTCCACCTGCTTCACATCGGAAAAGACAAAAAGTTTTTTTTTAAAATAAATAAATATCAAACACTCATAAATCAAAACTCAATTTGACCTGTCTGGTTAGGGTTTCACGAACAAAAGACTGTTCTTGATAAGCAAGACGGCTGCGAACCTCCTTGAGCTCCGCCGCAAGCGACACCACGTTTCGCCGGAAATTCTGTTTCTTCTCACTCAGATCCTTCAACAACGGATCCACCACTAAAGTCGACGGCCGTTCTTCCACCGACATCACCGTAAAACTCCAGACAACTACAAATCCAGGATGAACTGTTGTTTCTGCTACTCTATCCGATGATTCACCTGTGAAGCGTATAAATCCCAAAAAGGGAAAAAAAAAACTTAGTTGCTTCTTCCTATGACCTCCGTAATTAAAGCTAACAACCAAGCACACTTTGCATGTGAATACGTAGGGTAGCATTTAAGTCGCTGACCCAAATTTCAGAATTTTCAATTTATTGATAATCCAAGAGCAATAATGGAAACAGAATTATTATAAATGTAAGATAATGCGTTATAATACTTCAAAATTCAAATTTTTTATATGGTTCTTAATATTTCATGAATCAATTTCAATATGGAGAGAGAAAAAAGACAGATCAGTGTTTTGAAAACGAAAGAGAGAGAGAGAGAGGAGCAAGTTGACAGTCAAATGGAGGTTTATTCCACACGACTCTTACACTTCTAAGGAACAATTAAGAAACACGCTTCCCACACAGCTAAAAAAATAGCACTAATCATTTTTACCCATAAACACACACAGAGACAAACATGCATGAACACCTGATCAGGGAAAGAGTAGAAAATCACGAGAAATGCGTTCAAATCTAATTGCAAAGATTTAGAAGAAAAAAAAAACTGATGATGCTAATAACACCAAAAATTTAAAAATATATATATGTATATGTATGATGGGGGATTTACCGGCGACGATTGATCTGAGTTGAAGGATCGGACGGCGGAGGAAGAAATGAGAGGA